TCCTGTCCTGGGAAAGGAACACCCTGCAAGCTGAGGCAAGATGGATGAGTTTGGTGGTTGGGATGAGATGACACTTTTCTAGGTTCAGGGAGAACCCGTGACTCCTGAGGGACCTCATTGTAATGTGGGGCTTGAGAGGGGCCTGGTCTACATCAGGGGAGTCAGATGGGACAGGATGCTCCATGGCCTGATGGCACAGACTTCAGACAAGAGGCCAATACAGGTGGAGGTCAGGAGATGAAGGAGACTCTGGTGGCTGGTGCTGGATCAAATGACAGGCAGGTATTGTGGAAGCAGGAACAGTTTGTGGAAAAAAATCCAGAGGAGTAAAACTGGGGCTCTGCAATGAGTCCAATGAATCCAGCCACTCGACAGGAGGTGAGAAGGTGGAAAAGTAGCCGAGGCTGCAATAGCAGGCAGATAGATCAGGGAGAATCAGTGTATAAAAGGCAAAAAATAATTTACTTAAAAATCCTCCCTGTGCCAGTGTATGACCACCAGGTGGCCAAGAACTTAGCGCTGCTTGGGGAAACGCTGCGGGGGGGAGTGACCCAGCCGGAGACCCGATCAAGGCCAGCTAACCACCCTGCGGCTATCTGCAGAAGCGTGGCTAAGCGGGAACACGAATAGGAGAAAAGGTGCGAATTCAGGCCCTCCCAATTGGCTGATGCTCCAGTGCGAGGGAGAAAAAGGAGGTAAAGATGGCAGCCGCGCAATTTAAAGTGGCCATGCACCCCTCCGCGGCAGGCTGGGCCAAAGGGCAAGAAAAACACAAAAACAACAAATTCCAACTAAAAGGGGAACGCCAGCAGCCGCCGGAAGCTTCGCTGCTCCTGCCGCGCTTTAAAGCAAATGCGGCAGCTCTCCACTGCCGTCCAAAGGTGACGCAGCAAGCGGAGCACCCACCACCACCACCACGCCTACCTCCGAGTCTCTAGGAGAAATCAAACGACGTGAAGCAAGAAGAGGAGACAATTAACTGTTAGCTATGGGAACAACAAATTAAGGAAAAAGGAAGGGAAAAAAACTAGGAGTGTCCAAGCCTAGATAAATTACGTTGGAGCTCACAAATAAAAGTCTTGAACGGGCAGACTGAGAAAAAATTCTGGTGCCAAGTAACACCAGGAGGCGTGGCCAAGGAAAAAGATTCCTCAGTCCCAGGACAACCAGACTGATTTAACACGTCGCTTGGAAATATTAGATATGTTTTCCACCTTGAGTTATTAATTAAAACAATAAAAGTGCCATAAAACAAAATCTTAAAACACACTGAATTCAATAAAGTTTATTTAGAACAAATTGCACTAGTGATCGGTACATATCATTCCTTGCAACTACACTTCAAAACTGCATATATAATGGAACACAAAATACCAGGTGAACTTGCAGTTGTAATAGAACTTCATCTTCTTAGTCACTAAACCTACAAATCACTAAAGTCGCATTCTTCATTTCCTTAAGCAAAAACCACGTAAGATATTAGCTTTATCAGATAGGAGCAGTACCTTAAAACTGGAATCTATTACTATTAACTATTACTATTAACAAATAATAATCAGTTAACATAAGTAAATCTTCAAAATGGACTTCTTCTCAACAATGCACAAATACACTCTCCAGGAAATTATCAAAGAGGACATGACAGGACATTATGAAAGAAAGAAAACCAACAAACCATTTTGCTGCTTTGATTTTTCTTTCATTTTCTTTGATTTTATTTCTTCAAGAGTTTTGATTCCAAAATTCAAACATTTATCTGAAAAATCCAGATATCTGATTGAAAAACACATATATAATTCCAGAAACCAAACATTTACAGTATTTGACAAGATTGTAGATTTTTCAAATTTAAGATGATTGAAGAAATTAATATAATCTTAATATTACATACTGCTTGTTCTTACCTTTATCTTGATTTGCACTAGTCACTGATTTCCGAGTAGAAATTACCCGCAATCCATTTGGATTTTCTGTAGATGGTTGTTGAGCAGGCATTTTAGATTCATCACCTTCTTCAGATAATTGATCTGAAAGGAACACTAATGTTACTTTAATTCTAATCCTGTTTATTCATAAATAAGCAAGATCTACTGATCTTAAATCAGTAGAGGGGCAGGTTGCCCTTCTTAATGTGCCTAGGACTGCTATTCATTTACTATCTATAATTCCTCATCAGAAATATTATGTAGCCCTAACACTAAAATAAATGTTTAATGTCTACTGTCTATGTTCATGATAAGTTAGTATGGTTATTGAGCTATATCTTGAGGTTTCATACTCATGAGAATCCATAACATACTATTAAGTATGTAATTTCAGCCTGCATTTAAACATTTAGAATAATTTGATTAACTGTACAAGATATATTTAAACTTTCTTTAGAAGAATGGCACCCTATAAAAGTAGGTATCAATGAAGTAACCATATTTAAAAACAAGTCTGATACTGAATTTAATTTAATCTAGAATCATGAATGGATAAACTTTGCGCATGGATTTACACTGTATTCAAATGCTGGCTTTTTTCTTTAAAGGACAAACTTTATAACATATTTTATTTGATTTATTAGAAGGACTAGCTTTTTCAGTTTACATGGAAACTCATATTATTCTGATTTTTTAGATATTGATTACCTTTGCTAATTCTTCATTTTTGACAATGGTTTTAAAGTGATAATTTGATTTGATTACTATAAGATCACATTGGTTTACAATTCTAATACGATTTTGAAATTTTTATTGAACTTTGCTTCTAATTTTTTTCTATTAAAAAAGGAAACATGAAGGAAATCACCTGAATCTACATGTTAACTGATTATTATTTGTTAATAGTAATAGATTCCAGTTTTCATATGAAAATACAGAATAAGTGGTTGAGGTTCATGTTTAACTTTACACACAAATGCATTGCACTTCTTAAAGAGATTGAATCATTGGGGGGGGGGGGGGAGTCCTATTCTATTGCCTAGTGAGCAATGAAAGTACCTAATTCCCTGCAAGGAACTCTCATCAACCAGATTTAAACTGATCCAAATTCTTGAGCTGTTAGAAAAATATTGTTGCCTTTTGAATAGAAGCAGAGACAATGCTGTCGGGCAATAACTGAGATGCCATTTGCAGATGTGCTATAGAGCTCATCTGGACTTTACATCTTTTCTCCTCCTCAACTTTAACAATAAAGTTCAATTACAGAAGTGACTGGAGATATATGATGACATGGAAAGCAAAAACAACAGCTTGTCCAGATGAAGCTTCAACTGAAGCAACCATTAAAATTATTTGGAAATTCTAGCTAGGATCTCTGGATTTCCTCTTTGTAAAAGGTAAGATCTTTCTTAAATTAAAAGTTTGATTTAACGAGTTCGGGGGGAAATCGATCCAAGCAAATGGTCCAAGAAAACAGTATCTTCATTTTATATTTTATCTGCTATACTCATTCTCCCTTTGTTTTAAAATTATGTTAGCTTGAGCGAATCATACTTAGCTCACCATCATCATCTTCATCATCATCTGCTGCATTAATAACAACAGGTGGATGTGTGGGACTAGGAACATTTTCAGAATTTTCCACCTTCATCACTCCACGCAACTGAGGTGATGGGTTAGATTGAACAGAAAGCTTGTTTTGTTGTGCAGTCTTCATCTCTTCTTCTTGAGACTCAGGCACATTTGGAAGAACAGCTTAAACAATGAAACCACATCAAATAATCCATTTAGTTTGGTCAAACTCAGAATGAATTCATTAAGATCTATGAGAATTTAGTAGTAACTGGCACAAATTCCACAATTTCAATAATCCTACTCAAAGAATAACAATGCTTGAATTCAGTCCATTACTCTTAATATATACAGGGAGTCCTCAATTCATGACAGTCATTTAATGACCATTCAAAGTTATAATGGTCTCAGAAAGGATGCTTTATGGTCTGTGTAAAGCATTTCTGGCCATTGTAGAACATTGTGCCATGCTTCTGCAGTTAGGCATTTGGCAATTGGGTCACAGCAGGTTGCCAAGCATCCTGCAATGTGATGGCCATTTGCAATCTTCTCTACCAACTTCCCCTTCTCTGTCAACTTCAAAGTTAATGGGAAGCCAGCAGGGATAGTTGCAAGTGAAGGGGATGATGAGCTGAAATCTTTCACTGGCCTGCAATAATAAGAGCCGAAAACTTCAAGATTTTAGCTCCATTCCTGTAGCTTCCCCAATTTTAAACTCTCACCTCCTCTTAAAAGTTTTGAACTTTTATACATACTGTTATTAACATTTTATGTACACCTCAAAGATTCCCTCTTTGAGCAGATGTGTGGTTCAGAAATGTGAAAAATAAATTAAAAATAAAATACAATAAAGTAAATTGCACTAATGTAAACTAGATTCAATTACATTTACTCCCAAAGAGAATGGCGTGGAAGTTTTCTTTGTGTATATGATATGAAGTTATCTGAATCAAATGGGAAACTTTCAACACAAAAAGTTCAACTGGTGAAGTTACTTTCACATAAGCAACAAAAGCCTGGATCTCTTCCACTGGCTTATAAACCATTTATTAATGTGGAACTGGTACTTATTGCCACAATTTTCCAAGGAAAAACATTTAACTTACTCTTGCTTGGAGGTAAGAAAAGCCCATCCACAAAACGTCCCTTGTTGTGGTGAAAAGCACAGTTCAATTTCTGACAGCCCAATGGCTGATTCTCCCAATAGCACGGTATTTCGCTGCGTTTTTTCTGAAGACAAACCACAAATTAATTATATACAGAAGAGCTCACAGCATTAAGAAAGCAGCATATGCAGTGCATTTAGAATCATAGCTCCAATAAAAGTAATATGGTTTACCAGGAGGCACATTGCTTGTTGCTAGTGGATGGATGAAGACTGAATGGCTGTGAGTTTTGGATCCAAATCATGGAACTGGATATTTTCCATCTTTGGCTCTGAATGGAGCTATGTAGCTCATATAGACCTACAACACAATTTGGGGATTCTCCTGGATACACAGAATTATACAAAAAGCACGTGGCAACTACTACTCTACTTTGTATTATCCACTATTCCTGCCTATTCTCACTGCCTTAGTCACCTCTAGACTAATTATTATAATACACTATTTGTTTATTTACAGTGTTTGTGTATTTATTTTTATTTCATAAATAACTATATAGGGCACATACCAGTCCACTATCTGATTTTTTAAATATAAACGATGCTGTGCTTAAATAGTTAAATGGCCCAGGCACTCATATTTGAACATAGATGTTTTTAGCATTTATATTTTATGGTGTTTTACTAATTTAGATGACATACACTACACTACACATACACTAAACAAATAAGTTTATAAAGCTCTCAAGGCAGTGAACATACTAATACTCCTACCTCCCCTAAGGTTTTCCTCACATTAACCTTGTCAAGTGAGTTGGATTGGGAGAGATGGGTTTATCCTTGAAAACTGAAGCTACAGTTGGTCCAGAAAGACGGTTGGTCTTACCTGAAAGGTAGTTCTTGTGCACTGCGGGAGACTCCATGCATGTTGTTTACAACTTCTGCCTATTAGCCCCGAGACATAGTTTGAAGTGTTTGGATACGCCTCCTTGGCTGACTGGATCTCAGTTCTTAACTCAGTCTAAGCCCAACAAGACGTATCCAACTCTTCTCTCAGGATTCATAGACAAAAGTTAGAACATTGCTTATTGGAATTCTTCAATCAGTACAGGAAAATAATTGAAATTATATCTTTGACATCTATAGCTTCTGAAAATCTCTGCGAAGCTGCTAAACGGTTGCCAGGTTGCTGGTGGCTGTTCCATAGTAAGCTTAGTTTGGCAGGCCCTTCACCACCTCGCCTCGAGCTTAAATTGATTAATCGGCTTAATTGGTGGTTTCCAACCTGCAAGTCTGCCTTTGCTTGGCCACTAGATTTGCTTCCAACCTGATTTTTAGCCTGTTCTTGCTAGGCTGTTCGATTTTCTTCGCAGGGCTGTCAGATTGTTGTTGCCTTGTCGCCTTGAGCGTGAACAGTGCCAAACACCGGTTTCGGCGCGAAAACAGCTTACTTAGGATCGGAAAGGGCGGGAGGCTTCAGAACGTAGTTTTACTGATATCGCCGCTATTTAGAGACTGCAGGGGGGATTTGGATGTCTGGGGAGCCAGCAAAGCCTGCTGAATCACCTTGTCACACAATTTGGTTGTCTCTGAGGTAATCAAGCTGTTTGATCTGACAGATGTGGTTGCCACTTTGAGGATCTCTCCTCTCGCTAGCTGCCATTTTGAGAGAAGTTACTGTCGGATTTATGAGGCAGCCTTGGTCACAATTTGAAGCTAGCTACCTTTACTTCTGTCCACAAGTTGTGCTTGTCTTTATTGCCGACCTGAATTTAAACTGGACCAGGCTTGGCTTTTAATGCCTTAGCTGCTTCAATTTGATTCCATAGCCTCAATAAAATTTACCTCAGATACTGGGACGTCCATTATATTACAGCCTATCTCTGACAGTCCTGGACTGACTGGAGCGCGATTGCTTCTGAGAGTCTGTTTATAAAATTTCTAAATTGCCTCTTATCCCCATAGTCTCCATCCAAGTACTTGGTCACATCCTGGAGCTCTAGGGTGTTATACAGTGATCTGTCTAACAGCTTCTTCATGTTGATCTCAATTTCAGTGTATTCCTAGAAATGGCTGATCATTTTGCACGCCACTAGCAAGAGGCGTTGAGNTTTTTTGACAAAAAATGGGCCAGTTTTCATGAAAAATGGGCCATTTTTTCTCATTTTTACCCCCCCCCCTCAGGAGCACTCTACAAGCCTCCTAACGGCTATTCATGCCCTTTTTTGGGCGGGGGGAAATGGGCCCGTTTTTGCGAAAAACTGGTTGTTTTGGGGAGGTTTGCAGAGTGCAAAAACTTTTTTTTTAATGTTCCTTGCTGCATCTTATACTCCGGTGTGTCTTATACTCTGAAAAATACGGTAATGGTTCTACTTCCCACAGGACTACAAACAATGCTATTCTTGAAACAATCAGAATAAACTGATCCACAAATAGAAAAAGTTCCAGATTTATTATTCCAAAACACATTCAACAATACTGTGTTTAATTACATGGGTCTAACATGAGAGAATGTCTACTAAAACAAGCAATTGCTGACACCTAACTAGGATTATTGATTTTTACTTATGTCCAAGACATATTCAACAGAATTAAAATATGCAGTTTGCCATTATCTCAAAAATTGAATAAATATTCACGTATAACTTGCAGATTAGAAATATTTTCTATTTAAAAACAAGGAAGTATTCTAGAAAGAGAACTTTACCCTTCGTTCTTGGTTCTACAGCCTGAGGGCAAAGTTTCAGGTCTTCTGATGTTCCCTCCTGAGATCTCATCAACAATCTTTTGGAAAGCGGACGTGTTTTCCCCATAGTCACTGAAGATTCAGAATTTGTGGTCACTTCTGGCATTTTTCCTTCTGCTATTTCTTCCCCAGCAAGAGGCACAGTTACTTGTAGTTCCTGGGATTTTTCCTCTTGTTGCTGCTGCTTTAATCGTTGCTTCTCCTTCCTTATTTCTTCTAAGCTCTTCACATAGACTTTAGAATGTGAATTACTCACACTATCATTCAAAGGCTGCATAGATGCAAAAGAAAACAAACAAATGTCCAATAAGCAATCAATACAAGTCCTTTGAAAAATGCACACACTGTTATGACTCCACCCAAATCAAATATAAATCTTTATTATCGCCTTAGGGCAGACAGCATAATTCAACCAACCTTCTTGGTGTTATGCAGTTTATAAAAAATAAAAAAAATATTTTATTTATTTATTTAAAAGCACGATCTATGGCAACCATACATATGCTTTGCTTCTTGGTGGAAACCTGAAATCAGAAAGAAATGCATTGCAACTGCAATGGAGATCAACTTGATTATAATTTTCTACTTAAATCCTGTTTCTGAAAACAGATGAACAGAATACACTGTATGGAACAAAATTCTATATTAAATATTTGATCTTCATTAAGAGTATTTTTGTTTTATAATCAGTGGTCTATTTGGTAGCATAACCTGCTATCTTTAATATGCTGCAACATCAACTGTTGGTTATTATTCATGGCAATGGTATCTAAATAACTCAGAAGAATGAGAACATCTCTTTTATCATGTCAAATGCTGCTAATTAAAATACCAGATGTTAGTTTCCAAATATACTAAATAAAAGGATGATACAAGGAATCTGCATTCACAAAAGCTATCTTCTTACAGAACAATGAAGCTCACCTTTGCAGCAATGTTTCCTACAGAAATTCTTGGAGAAGACCTCAATACCAGAGTTTTTTCTTCCTTTTCAGGAGCTGTTGACAAATCAGAGATACTTTTAAAAGAACTACATTGCCACCCCCAGTTTTCTATATCATTGTGTGGAATAACAATGGTTTATTTAATCATGTGCTGTTGCTGGGGGTAGGAGGTTATTGGTTTGGGGGGGGGTAATTATTTTTTCTATATTGTATGTTGATTGTTTGTAAACTTCCTAGAGTCACTGCGAGCAAGTAGACAGGTATATACATTTTCTAAAATAAATAAATACATTCCAAACCCAGAATGTATGGGAGTGACAAGCTTTTGAATGCTCAAGGGCAGCAGAGATTTCCCATCCTCTGGAAAATTGCAGGAAGTCAGATATCATTAAAAGCAGTATGGCCAGTGTTTTCATCCTGCTTTTTGGCTTTTGAGGTTTTTCATGGGTGGGAATGGGACACCTGGGCTTTTCAGAGGCAAATTGTTATTATTCTCACTATTAATCCCCATGTTTAAAAAGTTCCAAACTGAACTGTTAAATTACTGTTTTGCTACCAAACTCCCATCAGTGTTCTTCTATGGAAGAACAAGCAATTTATTTTAACTTTTCAACTAGCTTTCCCCAAGTTCTGAAGCCAAGAAGCATAATAATATTACTTCAGACTTTTTCTACCCACCTTTCTATAGCATGCTGAAAGTTTGTGAACCCTTTAGAATTATCCACAATCATATAATACTATGATATACAAGATGAGATGAGCTGTAACTAGCTGCTATTTATAAAGAGATTCTGACTAGACTATAAAACAGAATCACAATTGAACCCATTGAATCACTTACTCATTATATTTATTGGAAAAACTAGTATTAGATGTCACTTTTTTAGTAGAAATTATTTTAACCTGTTGCTTGAGCTCACACTTGGCTTGGGGGTATTTTGGACCACTCTTCTCTACTGAATTGCTTCAACTGGATATTTTGGAGTTGTGTTCTCCAGAACTGTTTACTTTGGTCATGTGACATTAACTCAGGCATTTGAACTGGTTATTTTGAAATGTGATTTTTTTCCCCCGCTTCAGAGATCATTGTAAATTTATTTGTATGTTTAGGAATACATTTGTTTAAGCTACAATAGATGGATAAATATCCTGATATTCTATGGAATTTGTTGATATAATCAACAGTAGACTATTGTCAATGTTGTTTGCTTAATCAAAATCTGTTAATAAGATTAAAATGAAGGTCAGATAATTGTCTCACAGTACTTCAGAATTATCTATATTTAGGTTACAATTCTGAAGAGATCACAAACTTTATGACTGTATGGCAATACATTTTTATTTCATATTTAAATCATGATTTCTGTAGTCATTAATTCTAAAATGTGAGTTTTTCAGGAATGCATTTTTCTAATATGTTAAACAATCAAAAGCATGACTTTTTAAAAAAATAAACCAATCATCAGACTGTTCTGATTAGTAAATGAGTATCAGAATAATTTCCAAATATGTAAGTATTTCATTATTTACTATAACTTTACTCTCAGGAGAACTAATGTAAATCATTCTAAAAATACTTGATTTGCTTATTAAAAAATATAAGCAAGGAATTCCAAAATAAAATAGAAATGGCTGAGATTTGGAATTGATAAACCTATTTTGCTTCTCAATTCTGAAATAGACTGAGGAACAGTAAGAGTTAGTTTCCTCCATCTTTATTTTTGGCATTATACTACTGCACCTAGCAAATAACATGAAGAGTTTTGGTACTGCTATATTTAAGATCCAGGCCAAGAATGTTTATCCATCCTGTTATATAATAAGTGGCTTCAAAGTAAAACTGGAAGGAATACCTTCTGAATGCATCCTTTAGAAAATAAAATACTTCAACAAGGAAAGTTTGATACCTGTCAGCTTTGTAACATACAACATCCTCCTCCCAGTTATAGTCCGTTCAGATTGTATCTGGGTCTTTGATGTGCTCTCCAAATCTTGCTGCATGCGGAGAGCTTTCTCCTGCTTGATTTCCTCCAGAGTTTTGATGTGAACTTCCATAAAGTCCTTGGTTTTGACAGAAGACTCTTCCATTTTTCTTCTTTTAGATACAGCTGTACCCAGAAACCCTTCTTTCTGAGGTTCACACTCATGCTTTGGTTTGGAAACAGCCTCTTTTTCAGTTTTTATTCGCTCCTCTTCCATTTGCCTTTGTTTTTTCTCAGCCAAGACTTCAGAAAAGGTTTTGATCCATACTGAAGGAGGTTTTGACACTGGATTGGGATTTGTTATACAAGCCACTTCAACTTTGGGTTTGGGGTGAATTTCTCCCTTTTTTTGGCTAGCTTTCTCCAAGCGAATTTCTTCAAGTGTTTTAACATAGATTTCATTAGTTGGTTTGGCAGCAGACTCTGAATCACCAAAACAAATAATTAAAACATATACAAGGACTATATTTTAAATTTCATTAAGATCTCACACTTTTTGCCCTCTAGAAAGTGTATTCCCCAATGGTTCTGCTGAGCAGAAACAAACACACAAACTATTGCTATTCTTGGTTTCACTTTAAATGGATTGTACATCAACAATATAAATAATTCTTTTCAATCTTTGTCAGATTTTCATATAATGACGTAGAAGCTTGAAATAAAAAAGTGTTAAGATATGAAATAATGATAAAAATAGATGAACAAAATTCTTCATTCCAGCAAACACAGAATTTCTAAAAAAAAATTTTAAAAAGGTTTTAAAATACAATGCTGGCTGACTATTTTTTTTAAAGTTTTAGGTTACAGTTCAGTATTCAACTAGCAAGGCACAACATTTAGTCCAATAAAGATGCTTTCTGAACAAACATACAGAAGATTCAGCTAACAAAGAAAGAAAACTTTATTGTATTAAAATAAAATTAGTACCTGTTTCCATACTGCTTTGCTCAGATGCTAATCCCAGTCTTTCTTTAAGAAACCTGGGAACTTGAAATCAAGAATGATAAAGTCAGCTACAGTCACTTTTAATTTTTTTTAAAGGGTTTTTTGGAATCAAACACATGGCTTCTTGCAACTTATACACACCATTTACATGCATGATGCGTTACCTATTACCCCATATAATATATTAAAGCCTCAAGTACACATACAACTACTACAATAAATATGATATACAACTTTGCAGTTGTTTTAGAAAATGTGATTATTTTCTGGAAGACTACAGAAACATATTCTTTCCATAAAATTAAAACATTAGATTTTATCCACAAAAAATGGTCAAAAAGACTTTCTCATTATGTAATTATGATTTATTTATTCTAAGAATAAATAGCAGCTTTATGAAGATGTTGAAATTATTTGGCTTCTGTAAGAAAAGGAAAGGAGAGTATAACACATGACAGTTATTATTTCTAAGCTCTCTCCACCAAACATATATTAAATAAACAAATATTAAGAACACTTCTATAGCTGAATATTGTCTGTTTCTAAATATAATCTATACCTGAAATAAATAAATATGTTTATTGATGTAACAGCCATACCTCTTTTTTGTGTTTTTTCTGTACTTTCAAGTGAATCAATTTTTTTCCCCAGTCTATCAGCAAGGCTGCGCTTTAATGGAATTCCAGTCTCAGTGACTTATGGTAGAAAGATAATAAATTTATGTTTGATTTTAAAAAAAATTGTAAATATTTCTACTACATGATTTATTTATACACATATGTCTCTACTTGAGATTATAGCCATTATTTACTTATACAATACTGTAATCTGCCTTCAGTGGGTATGTGCCTAGAATGGCAGTGTATTTTTATATAAAAATAATTTCATAATGTAATAAATAGATTAACTGAATATTTCTAGTGAAGATACAATAAAAATCCATTGTGCTTTAATTCTATTCAGAGGTAATTCAATAAGTGCTAGAAATGAAAGGAATACATTCCTTGAACTTTGTGTATCTATGCATCGATAGAGAGAAACATGGTTGTGATATATAACAAATGAAGGTGAGGGGAACAGACATTTCAGTACAGATAGTGCTCAACTTACAACAGTTCATTCAGTGACATTCAAAGTTACACCACCACTGAAAAAAGTGACATATTTTTCACATGTATGACCACTATAACATCCCCATGGCCATGTGATCAAAATTCTTAGCAACTGACTCACATTTATGACAGTTGCAGTGTCCCTGAGTCATGTCCCTTTTGTGATCTTCTGACAAGCAATGTCAATGGGGAAACCAGATTCACTTAACAACCATGTAACTAACTTAACAACTGCACTGATTCACTTAACAACTGTGGCAAGAAAAGTCATACAATGAGGCAAAATTTACTTAACAAATGCCTCACATAGCAACAGAAATTTTGGGCTCAATTGTGGTGATAAGCATTATCTTTATTTTTCGCTTCATCTGATTACGATTACTCACCCATGGGAGACTTCCTTTTTCCCAATCTCTCTGAAAGTGTTAATCGAATCCGAGGCTCTTCACCTAGGACAGTGAAATACAAGAAGTTAATTTTTGCTTTCCTACCACAAATATAAAAAACTATTGCTCCCTTCAGTTACATGGAATATGAATTGAGATAGAACAACTATTCGTGGCAATACTAGTGTCATTAAAGAGTAAAGTTAGATGAGTATTAAATATGAAATATAACCAATTTATGTTCTCCATAAAAGTCATTCTTAAGAAAAAAGTTAATTATGACATATTTTTGCAATGCCATATTTCTGTTAAATGACCCTTTTATAGCTAATGGGTTTCAGACCTGTTTCTCGTTGCAAATCATAAATACTGTCAAATAAAGTTCCATCATGCCTAAATTCCTATATAAACATATAATCCTAATCAACAACAAAAAAAACCTGTAGTTACCCTGCAACTAGAAGAAATGTAATAAAAAAGGTAAATTTACCTTGCCTCGAAGATAAAGTTACAGTTCTGACCACAGTCCGTGCATTTTCTTTCTCTGGGCCTGGTTGAGCAATCATTTCAGAAGGAATGTCTGAAGAAAGCAAAAAGAAAGCTATTAACTTTCATGGCAGCCACTATTTATGATTTGAAGCTTATGTTTACATGCTTTGTAAGAAAGCAACACAACTGAGAGCCAATTTGGTCTAATAGTTAAGGCACCAGGCTAGAAACCAGGAAACTGTGAGTTATACTCCCTCCTTAGGCATGAAAGCCAGCTGGATGACTTTTGGTCAATCATTCCCGCTCAGCCCAACTCGCTTCATACGTTACAGTTGTGGGGAAAATGACCATTGGCTTACCTGAAGTGTCCTTTTCTGTGCACTGTGGGAGAGTCCAAGCGACGGGTTAAATCAGTCTGGTTGCCCTGGGACTGAGGAATCTTTTTTCCTCATCCGCCTGGATGGTACGCACAACCTCCTCCGACAGGCATTCGCTCCTCAGGAGATCCCCCTCAAGTGCCAGACGGCCAGCTGGAGCCACTGGGCGTCCGGGTGTACTATGGCCCCCTGGCTGAGGAAGACCTGGTCCCGAGGAATCCGACATGGGGATGACACTGACAGGCTGACAAGGTCGGCGCACCATGACCTGCGAGGCCAGTGGGAAGATACGAGGACCTCTGCCCTTGCCGCGATGATCTTGCAGATTATCTGTGGTAGAAGCGGAAGTGGTGGGAAGGCGTACAGAAGACCCTGAGGCCATCTGCATCGAAGGGCATCCGTCCCCTCTGCCCCTGGCGAGTGGAAGTGGGAGAAGAAGCGCTGGAGCTATGTGTTCTCTCGGGTTGCGAACAAGTTGATCACTGGGCTGCCGAATCTGTGAGACAACTGGTTGAACAGGGTCGGATCCAGATGCCATTCTGCACTGTCTATGGGGGTCCTGCTCAACCAGTCTGCCTGCGTATTGTCCATTCCCAAGATGTGGTCGGAACGAATGGACGCTACGTGACACTCCGCCCACCTGCCCAGGGCCTCCGCTTCCACCATGAGCTTCCTGGACCTAGTGCCGCCCTGGCCATTTATATGGGCCTTAGTGGCCACATTGTCCGTCATCAGGAGGATGTGTTGATGAAGAATGTCCTGGTGAAAATATCACAGGGCGAGTCTGGCCGCTCGCAGCTCTAAGAAGTTGATGTTGCAGGCTGCCTCAGCTGGAGACCACTTGCCTTGAGTTGCGCGATGGCCCATGTGCACCCCCCAACCGGCAAGGCTGGCTTCTGTCGTGATGACTACTCTCATGGGCTCCTTGAACAGGTGTCCCTTCAGTAGAGCCATCGATTGTCACCACTTGAGAGACCACTTCATGGTCGGGGGAATCCGCACCCTCATGGATGAGTTGCTCCTGTTGGCTCTCTGATGGGGCAGGACAATCCACTGCAACTTTCTGGAGTGCAGTTGTGCCCAGGGAACAACCGAGATGCAGAAGATCATCTTCCCCAACAGTTGTGATAGGAGCAGCACGGAGACCTGCCTCAACCCCAGAACCTTGCAAGCCATGGATACTAAACTGTATATCCTGTCCTGGGAAAGGAACACCCTGCAAGCTGAGGCAAGATGGATGAGTTTGGTGGTTGGGATGAGATGACACTTTTCTAGGTTCAGGGAGAACCCGTGACTCCTGAGGGACCTCATTGTAATGTGGAGGTTCCCTTGCTAGGGGCTTGAGAGGGGCCTGGTCTACATCAGGGGAGTCAGATGGGACAGGATGCTCCATGGCCTGATGGCACAGACTTCAGACAAGAGGCCA